AAGGGTAGAAGATTCTCGTTCGGTTAAGAGGTAAGGGAAGCTAGTTAATTTAATTGTGATTTTCTATGTATGAAATTATTGTTTGGATGGTTGCATGTGTGTAACTTGAATGTTTGATTGAATTGTGTTGAATCTGTGAATGCTGGAACCTGTGAACTGGTTGGAGTTTCTCTACATAAGTGTCCGGTTTGTTCTAAACTTAAGAAAATGGGTATGTGAATATGATAGTTTGGGGTTGGGAGTGAAATCTAGTATGAGACTTTTTGGGATGATGTTAGAACGATTTTAGGTACCTTTGGATAGGCTTAAAATGGTATATGAATCATGTTTAGAGGATTAGAAGTTGGGAAGTGGTAGAAATTGGTGAAGATAATTGTTTATCTTCTGTAGAATTATGCAGATCGTCGAATGTCATTCATTGACCTTTCGGCTTTCTTCTTGTGTTCGGTCTTAACTGAGTTCCACTTCTGTAGAGCTTTTCAGTTAATGATCGATCGGTCTTGTACTAGTATTCTGTTTTAGTAGCGATCGGTCATAGTGGGTGTGTGGTCTCTTAGTAGCAATCTTTATTAGTGGGTTGTGTGGTTCCTTAGTAGTGATCGGTCATAGTGGGTGTGTGGTCTCTTAGTAGTGATCGTTATTAGTGGGTTGTGTGGTCTCTTAGTAGCGATCGGTCATAGTGGGTGTATGGTCTCTTAATAGCTATTGTTACTGGTGGATTGTGTGGTCTCTTAGTAGTGTTTGTTCTTATACTAGTGCTCGATCTCGTACTTGTATTCGGCCTAAATAAATTCGTTTGAAATCACAACATAAATAAATACTTCAAAGGAGTAAATTATTACAACTTGAAAGTTTAACTATTCAAATCCAACAAGAAAATAAAGAATTTAATATCATCCTTAATCGTTTACAATAAATAAAACTTTAATAGAACTCTCATTATATATCTCCTCTCTCTTGTCAATTACATAATTTCAACAGCATCTGCATTCCTATTTGAGCTTCCATATAACACACGATCATCGCCACAAGCACAAACCAAACAAACAAAATAGAAAAATGTATGAGTGAGCTAAACATCCATTAAAACAACATTACATGAAAATAATAAGTAAACACTGATATATATAATCAAGCCCCATTAATATTCCCTAAGTGATCTAACCATTTCAAAACTATATCTTTATTGGGCGGTTGAACACTCTTACTATCTCAGTAAAGACCTATTTCCCCTATTCCTCAAGGTATTATGAGTAAGAACTAGTGTTGTCAAAACGGGTCACTCGCCCCAACCTGACCCAACCCACCATGGGTTGACCACTTAGTGAGCCAACCCAACTCGACTCACTTAGTGACCACCAAGTATTATACTTCACTTCAAGTAGGATATAGGGGTAAACAACTTTCCTCTCTTCACTGTCTCACACAGGCAAGAGAGTACAAAACTCGAACCCAGGCAAGAGAGTACAGAACTCGAACCCACTCTTATTGCCTCTCACAGTCTAAAGAGTGTTCCTTTCCACTGTCTCTCACAGACAAAAAAGAGACCATAACCTTAGATGTATTACCATCAACGATCCTAGACCATTTTCTACTCTTGAATCACTCAAGAGTAACACTCAAGGTTTCACACCACTCTTAGTTGGATTTTAATAACTTGGACTATTTCCTATCTATCCTCAACTCATTCTCATTGTAAAGGAGTATACCTATTGATACTTAAAGAAGATATGGTTAGGCAAACTAAAACAGTATACCATAATCAAAGCAACTAAATCAGTATACCATTATCCAACACATACACTACAATGACCATACAAAATAGTACCACAATTTATGAATATAAGTTCATTCCAACAAGTTATACAATACAATCCATGAGTCATCAAACTGCATTTTTGAAAGAGATTTTCTGAAAAGAAATAAGTTGGCATTTTTGAAAGAGATTTTCTGAAAAGAAATAAGTTGAAAGCTTGTTGAATAGACTTCCAAGAAAAAAATATATGTCTCAATTAACAACTTAAATACCTTATCTTTTCTTAAAGTGTTCTTCAATAATGAATCTTATTTTGAAAATCATCAAGTAAGTAGTATTAGACATTCTTATTTATGATTTTTTTATTTTTATCTTCTTTTACTTTAATTTATTTGTTAAACATTCTAGAAAAAAAACAAAAAAAAATAGAACCGGTCCAAATTGAGCTACCGAGTCCAACAAAAGTCAACTCTGCTTTCCTTTTCTTTCTTTTTTTCACGCCATCTTCCTTTTTGGTGCAAATATTTGACTCAGGTGGAAGGGTGAAACCCTTGCTTTGATTTTCATGAAGAAAGTCTCTGAAGTCCAGGAGAAGGTTGGGCTAACCTAACCCTGATGGTTTTTGGTTTGAAAATAAGAGAGGGTTTGGGCTAACCTAACCCATTACTTTTTGGGTGTTACTCCCTCCACCACCACATTTTCTCCCTCCACCTCCCCAATTCTATTACATATTTTTTGAATTACAAAACTAACCTTTTATAATTACACAAATAACCTTTTTATTTTTTAATCCTAATTTTTTACTTTAACCCTAAAATCTATCTTTCTATCCCTTCTCACCCACCTCCCAACCCTCTCAGATTCTCACCCAAACTCCATCACATTCGCTTCTCATCTCCCATTTTTCCTCACAAGGTGTGTGTTGTAATTTTTTAATTTTTTTTTAAATGCAATGCATATATCTCTGTGTTGTGCTCTGTGTTGTGTTGTGCTCTGCGTTTTTTTGCTGTGTGCGTGTGTTGGGAGAAAGGAAGAAGATAACCAGGCCAAAAACGGATGTCGGGTATCCGTTTGGATCTGAAACGGATGTCGATATCCGTCGACGGATGTTGACATCAGTTTTCCCTTAAACGGATGTGGACATCCGTTGACGGATGCTCACATCCGTTTAAAGATTATATGGTTTATATTTTAGGGTTTTATTACGCACCTTCACGCCTCTGAACCTCTCACGCCTCTGAACCATCACCTTGAAGCATCACCACACTCACGGCTGAAGATGAATTGCTTTCCCCACTTTCAATCTTACTAAACACAAAGTCCACCACACTCTCACGTCACAATTCTATAAAAGAGAAGAAGAAGTGGAACATGAGAGACAATCCAAGGATAGTGGGACGTAAGAGACAACCTGGAAAAAATAATAAAGAGAAAGAGGGAAGAATGATAAAGAGAATGAATGTCTACGTAAAATTTTAAATAATATTAACCCTAAAATTTTAATAAGGGTAAACTAGGAATGAAAAAATGAAAAAAAGGGTAAAAGGGGAATGGGGTGGTGGAGGAAGCAAGTTGTGGTGGAGGAGTAACACCCTCACTTTTTTTACATCCTTGGTCTGCTTTCTGTACCCTTTTCAGTGGGCTAGGACCAGCAATTACCCATGGCATCTCACCGCTAGTCTTGCACCCCCTGACAGATACAAAGATAAAATTACAAAAATAATGATAAAAAGTAAATATTATAAATAAACCCCTCATAGTTAAGTTATTCAACACATACAGAGTAAAACATATAAATGCATGTAAGAATACCAGAATATGAAAGAACAAACTTAAGAATTACAAATGTTGTAACAATTTATCCTATGTAAACATAATTTTTATAGGAAACATAAGTAAATAAGGGATATATGTGAGACGGTTTCTTACAAAATCTTACCTGAATTTGTTGAAATATAGAGTTTGAAAGATTTGAAATGGTTGTAGTTGTCGAACTCACCAAAGGTTTTGAACAATAACAATTTCAGCCTTTTTAGTATGAATATTTTACATTTAATTAATTGAGAGAAATACTTAAGCATCAACGAATTAATCACTTAATGATAAATGTAACAACTTAAAATATTATAGGATAATCATCTTGGATATACATAAAGTTAAAACTATGAAGAGAAAAATGTAAATTGAATGTTTCTTATAAAACAAAATTGTAAGTCAATTGATAATTCAAAACTTAACCATTAGTTCATAGTAAATGTTTAACAAAACTCAATATAAAATTTTGAACAAATAGATTGACTTAAAATTTTCGTATAGATATAAATTATTTCATAAATGTAAAATGGCATAAAAAAATAACATTGCATAAATATGACTACTTAAAATAAATTAATTTTAAAATTGAAAAGATATGATTATGTAATATGATTTTAATTAAACAATGTAAAATTGGCTTGATGTACAAACATTTAAAAAAATCTATTATCAATAAATTTAGTGATAAATTTTAAAAAGATATATAATTGGCAAATTTTATTATAAAATAATCAAAATTTAAAATAAAAATCTGACACTCATTTGCTTAAGAAATTTATCAATGAAAATACCTACTATAATAAAAAATTAAATTTGTTGATGAATTTTGTATTATCGACAAATGTTTTTTCGTTAATAAAATTAAATAACAATATGTCATTTCTTTATAATAAAAATTTACTCTTTTTTAAAAAAATCTAATTAATTATTAATATTCATTGATTATTAGACTAGGACAAAATATGATCATAATATATTAAAAGAAAAAAATTAATAAAAAAACAACAACTTTACAAAACTGTTTGTGATAAATGATAAATATAAAATGATATAAAATAACATAAGTTTTGTTATAACTATTTTCTAAACAAAATAAATTTCTATGTATTATAATTTTAAATCTTTTAGAGAAAATTAAACTCTAATAGAACTTTATAGTGTTTAAAAGGAATGGTGTAAAATTTTTATTTAGATAAATAATTTTATTTTAAATAAATGATTTAACAAATGTTAAATAAATTTAAATTTTATTTATTTTATAATTTATATTTTTCAGTTTATGCAAAACTGAACATATAGATAAAAGAATTAAAAATGATAAAAAAATATATTAAAATATAAACATAATAATAATAGTAAAGAAAAAGGTTGAAGAAGATATAAGATAGAAATTAAATAACCAATCTCATATTATATAATCAACCCTACATCAGGTTTTGATAAAAGTGGAAGAGGGGAAATAGCAGCGCCGCCAGTAACACCACCTTCTTCTCAAGATCTAAATTCGAATCATGCCAAGATTGCCAAGACTACCACTCCGAGGAGCACCACCTCGCGGGGCCGGAAGAAACTTCGATTGACGCTGCAAAACCTAAAGAGTACCTAGGAGAAGCAGGTGGAAACCCACTTTAGAGAAGGAGCTTGACGCTTATTCCCTTATTATAAAGAAGCCGTGACTGAGAAAGTGCACGAACTGAGCCGGTGCATGGTTTACGAAACGCCGTCATCGTGATTCTGCTGGAGGAGAGTGACTTCCTTTGAAGTTTGTTGACGAGATCTACTAACAGATTGAATGGGGAGTTCAGTAGCGGCGCAATCGTGCTGACGGAGTCGGTAACTTACACCACTGTGAAGAGTAACTGTCGTTTGCGGGTGACTTATGGATTGCCTAATGTCGATGCTGTGTATTAAAGGACTAGACCGAATCGTGTTTTTAGTGTTGGAAGGTGATTGAGAATTCCTGTTTATCTTGATTCCGGTTCATGTTTATTACATTAAGTATTCAATAATATAACATGCATGCTAGGACTTGATCATTTAAATCTAATTGAAACTTCTTTTATCGGTGATGCAGACGAGAAATTTGAAATTGTTGACGCAATCTGTCCGAGGACAGTTTGGTGTTCGATCGCATGTGCCTGAATGGATGCATGTACCGGAGAGGATTATGATAGCATTATTGTGGTCTCTGGTAATGTGCTCGCTACTAGTGTAGTTAGTTTTGGTTGTTGAATGTATTTTGATTATAATTAATTAAATTATTTATTTTTCTTGAAAGCAAAAATGTGAGATTTTATAGTCGCTATTGGTAATGTGACTTTCTTTCTGTGCATTTATCTAGCCATATTAAGTTGTAGTTGTAGTTGGTGTTTCATTGTTTTCACATTTTCATGAGTTCTTTCTCTGATCATGTTTTGGGAAAGAGATTGTTTGCTTATTTACTATTTTTTCTTTTCAGAAATGATAGAAGCTCTATAAGGGCTAAAGAAGGCATCGACAAAGCTCAGTAAAGTAAAGCTATTCCTGAGGCAGATATCCGCTCGATAGTGGATTTTTCGATGCAGAAAAATAGTGAAGCCATGTGCATAACACTTCCTAACATAATTTGGTCTGTGTCTCAGATATTCAAATGCCTATGATGAATGATTTAATTTTCTAACATATGATGTTAGGCAATCCATAAGTCTCTCCCCGCAAACACGCTAGTCTTTACAGTGGCGTAGGTACCCGACTCAGCCAGCACGATTGCGCCGCTACCGACCTTCCCATTTAATCTGTCATTGATCTGGTCAACAAGCTTTAACGAAGGTCACTCCCCTCCAGCACAATCGGGATGACGACCTTCCGTGAACCACCGCACTGGCTCAGTTTGACTTGCACTTTCTCAGCCACGGCTTCCTTATAATAGCGGAACAAGGCGTCGAGCTCCTTTTTTAAGGTTTCCGCTTGCTTCTCCTCGACACTCTATGACACAATGACACATTTGTTCATAATTGTTTATTTCATTAATAACATGTCATTTATGTCATACGTTATTATTATAATGTTGTTACTATCAATTTGATCAACAAAAAAACTATATTAACTTGTTATTTTTTAAAATGACACTAAATTGAGAAATTAAAATAGTGGCGTTTTATACAAGATAAAAAGTACATGTTCAATTTAGAAGATAGACATTACATGTTTAATATTAATGAAGAATGTAAGACAAAGCGAACCTGACTTTATAGAAGAATTAAAAAAAGCGAAGAAAAAAGTAACGCCATTATTTCAATATCATGTCAAAGATAAGAGAATTGGATTCCACCCACATTAAGCATAAGGTAAACAGTTCTTCACGTGAGTGATTAGTTTGTGTATTTATACAGTCCCTTAGGAACACAATAATATGCAGTGTAAGTTCAAAAGTGGTCACACTGAGATATCTTTAGGTTCATCATCAAATCGAAGCAATAAATTATCGTTGTGCAGGTCTATCTACTGTCATTTTCAATTTTCATGCTGCTTTTGTTCATTAATATTCATTACTTTCATGCAGCAGCTTGATATGTTTAATATTTATATAATATATAAAGCTAACAACACTTCCAATTAGTTTTTTATATGTGAAATTTTAAAATATGCTCATGAAAAAGATTATATAGGAAACATGGACAAAAAGGTTGTCACAGTATATGAAGATTAAAATGTTAGTTACCTTTATTTCCTTTTATGTTTGAATATTAGCTCAAATAGGCTTCGGAGTTTATGAGAGAATGCTATAACACGATTCATTCCATTGATCTCCAAAGCGCGTGTTGCGTTTTTTTATTCGTGTTTGATTTTGATATATCTTATTAATGGATTTCTTTTTAATTTTGTAGTTTTTACTAAATTTTGATGGTAGGTTATAATGGTTAAAAAATAAAATTTAAATCTTATTCAATCTCATTAAAATAATTTATTAAAATAATTTATTAAAATAATTTATAAGATAAGGTTTGTAATTCATTTATATATTATAAATTATTATAAACTGATTTAATTTTAAGTGACAGGGAACTTTTCAACCGTTTCCTTTTTATGTTACTGAAATTATGTTAATTAAATTTATGGTAGTGAAGTTTGTGTTGGTCAAAACTTATATTGATGAACCTCTTAATAATCTTGAATTTACACACTTTAAGAAATCTATTTTGTTTGTGATTTTATGAAATTTTTTTACAATAGACCTTTAGCATATATATATATATTTTGTTATATAAAATCTAATATCAATATTTCTTTTCCTTATTAAAACTAAAATTTGAGATTTAAGTAGCCTACTATGGACCAACCTTGGAATGTCTTCTGATAAAGGAAAAAAATGCATCACGTATACAATACCACCGAGTAGCTATAATTTTAGAGTGTTTTTTTTTACTCGTTTTATTTGCATTTTTGTCTATAAAGCTGATACGTGATAGAGAAAAATATAACTTAAATAATTTTTCATAAACTAAAATTAATGTAGAAATTATTTTTATATAATATTTTAACGCAATATTATTTAAACTCATATAAACTATTTAAATTTATGAAAAAAAATATTTATTGTTTTTCTAATGTTGATAAAAGGTTTGTTTGAAACATATCATAATATAGCTGTTAGAACCCTTAAAATTCAGTGTGAGTGGAAGCCAGGTGTCAGTGAAAATCAAAAAGTGAAAGACAGGTGTGGGCAGTAGAGTGGCCGATCGGTTTGTTGAGGGTAGTATATAAGAAAATTTTTCAAAACTTCGAGCCACTTCTGCATGCATCTTTTCTCTCTTCAAACTTTCTAAGTTTTTCTCCTCCTTCTCTCTACAATTCTCATTCTTCTCTCTATGAATTCTCATCTTTTTCTTCTTCCGATTATCATTCAGGCAGAGCCTGAGTCTTCTGGTGTCAATGGCTTCACTTTGCACCGATCAAGTTGTTGGTTTGAGTTGGTAAGTTCATTCTTCTCTTAGCACGATTGTTTTCTGGCACATGCAAGCCAAGTTTCTGGTTGCATGAGATTATTATCTTCTTCCATGAAATTCTGATAGCAATTCTAGTCTTTTATTTGGTCTAGTTTCGTAATCGAGGAACTCTAAGTGTATAAGATTGGTAGTAGTGAGCCATATCATGCACCGTGAACGTTCGACTAAGTTTAGAGGTAAGGGAAGCTTGTTTAATTTAATTATGATTCTCTGTTTTGAATGGTTGTATGTTTGAATGATACTTTGTTTGATTTTTGATGGATATGAAATATTGGTGTTATTGCATGTTCGACTGTATGTGTTGATGATTTACAAATGGTATGAACTGGGTAGGAATATGATGTGATTTTGAATTTGCAATATTCTGCGAAATTCTGTAATTGTCGCCGATAGTCATTCTTGACCAATCGGTTTTCTATTAGTATACTTGTAAATACACGTTCTGTCTACGTATAGTTTCCTATTTATACTTCGTAATCGGTCTAGTTAAGGTATTCAATAATACTTAAATTCTTAGATATTATGTTTATCCTATGTTGAAAATAAGTGTTAGGTAATTGTATTTAGAAAATATTTATTCATTTTGTATAAGCTCAGTAGTGCTCGATCTTGAACCAAGCGCTCGATCTCAGTAGTGTTCGATCTTGAACCAAGCGCTCGGTCTCGTCACAATACTCAATTATGTACTTATATTTGAAATTAGGAGTGTTAGGCCCAACTCAATAGTGTTCGGTCAAAATAAGTTTCAATCGACTTATTATGATGGGTGAATAAGGTGGGTGATCAATAACATTTTTGTGATAAGTATTTAGGATTCAATTCTAAATTAAACACTAAGTCTATTTTTGGGTTATAGTTTTTAAACTTTTCTCACATATTTCAAATCTATAGTAATGAATTTCCACGTACTAATTAACAAAAATTCAAAAGTATCCTAAAAGTAATCCAAATATCATCATGTAAGGCTTAATTTAATCTAAAGTAGTAGTATATTGATGTAATAATATTTAACATCACACTCAAAGATTAAGTTCTTAAATACGCTATAAGTCTTCATATACAATAATTATATTTAGGATTAATTATGTTTTTAGTTTCTAAACTATAATGTAATTTTGATTTTTGTTTTTATCTTAAATTATGTTTTTAGTTTGGAATAAAGTGAAGGGATAAGATGAGGTTTGACAAAAATATATGAATATAAATGAAAGAGATGGGTAGCAATGAAGGAAATGAGTGGAAGAAGATATATGAATGGGAAAAAAAAGGAGAAGAGTGAGAAGAGATTGATTTATATAGAAAATGAGAGAGAAAAATTATGAGTGAGAGGTTTGTCATCTTCAAATAATCTTTAAATTAAAAATAATCTACAATTTTTATTTATTATCATCAAGGTATACAAATTCGCAATATATAACTTAGTATCAACAAACACTAGTTTTAATAAATTTAAAATAGTTTGTGTCGTTAGAGTTGACTTTATTAGTGTCCAATATTAAGAAAGTTCTATTAGAGTCAACTTAGCTTATGTTAATCTAACACTAACATAAATATTAAAATCATAAATGCTTTTTCTGGTAGAATATTGTCAAAGACACTTTTATCCAATAAAAATCAATGATGGGAGAAGATTGACGGAATCAACAAATTAAACAGAAAAGAAGTTAATATATAAGAGAAAGAAATTGATAACTAAATAAAAAAACAAATTAAGAAAAAATTTCAACATAGAGAAGAAATAAAGAAAGAGAGAGAAAAATGATACTGTAATTTTTAATTTTATCAATAATATATTTGTATTTTGAGTGTTATTATTCCACATTTATATTTTCTCTCACAAATTTGATTAAGAGAAATTTTGCTAAATTTCTCCACAACTGGTATTAGAGTGGGAGAAATGAATGCAGATGAAGCAAAACTATAAAATGAGAAGTTCGATGGTACGAACTTTGGCTTTTGGGAGATGCAAATCAAAGATTATTTGTATGAGAAAAAGCTATATCAACTTCTTTCGGGACATAAACTAGAAAATGTGAAGGATGAAGATTGGGCTCTTCTTGACCAACAAGCTCTTGGAGTTATTCAATTGACATTATCTCGCAATGTTGCATTTAATATTGCAAAAGAAAAGACCATGTTGGGTCTTATGACAACTCTTTCAAGTATGTATAAAAGTCGTCAGCCTCAAAAAAAGTTCATTTGTTGAAACTGTTATTTAACTTGCGGATGCCAGATGGCATAATGGTAGCGCAACATCTTAATGAACTCAATATTGTCACAACCAAATTGATTTCAGTTGAAATCGAATTTGATGACGAAGTACGAGCCTTGATACTTTTGTCTTCTCTACCAGAAAGTTTGAATGCTACAGTCACAACTATGAAGCAGTAATAAATTGATGTTTGATGATGTTCATGATCTGATTCTCAGTTAAGAGATTCGACGAAAAGAGTCAAGAAAATCTTCAATCTCTTTAGTTTTTCATAGAGTCAAGAGGAAGAAGTTTGATTAGAGGATATGGACGTGGAAAATCCAAGGAGAGGAGGTCCAATTCTAAGAATCATCGTAGTTTCCAAAACTCAAAGACAATTGTGTGTTGGAATTGTGGAAAGGTGGGACACTAAAAATCAGTGCAAGAGTGCACAGAAGAATCAAGAGGATAAAGTAGAAGTAAATGTTGCTTCAATCTCTTCTTCTCCTGAGGTTGAAGCAACATTGATATGTTCTTTAGAGAACAAGGAAAAGTTTTGGGTGTTAGACTCTAGAGCATCCTTTCGTGCCACCTCCCAGAAAAAATTCTTTAAGAATTATGTCCTAGAAATCTTAGAAAAGTTTACCTTGGTAGTGAGTAATCTTGTGAGATTGTTGGTAAAGGTGTGGTGAAGATTAAGTTAAATGGCTCTGTATGGAAATTGAAAAATGTTAGACTTATTCTCGACCTAAAAAAGAATTTAATCTTTGTTGGCCAGATGGCCAATGATGGCTACACAACAGTCTTCCATGGTGATCATTAGAAGATTTCAAAGGGTGCAATGACAATTGCTCGTGGTAGGAAACGTGGTCTCTTTACAAGACATAAGAAGCTTGTCATTTGATTGCAGTTGCAATAAATGAAAATTTCAACCTATGGCACTAAAGGTTAGGTCATATGAGTGAGAAAGGGATGAGGATCATGCACTCAAAGGGGAAACTACCAAGTCTTCAATCAATAGAAATTGACATATGTGAAGACTTTATACTTGGAAAGTAGAAATGAGTTAGCTTTCAGACAAGTGGAAGAACCCCGAAGAAAAGAGAGACTTGATCTTGTTCACTCTGATGTTTGGGGCCTAATAACAGTCTCATCCATTGGCAGTAAATGATACTTTGTGACTTTTATTGATGACTACTCTAGAAAGGTGTGGACATACTTTCTTAAAAATAAGTCTAAAGTATTTGAGGCTTTCAAAATTTGGAAAGTCGTGATAGAAAATGAGACGAGATTAAAGATCAAAAAGTTTAGATCAGATAATGGTGGTGAATATAAAGACACTAAATTTAAGAAGTTTTTGTTATGAGAACGAAATCGGAATTGAGAGGATCGTGCCAAGTACGATTGAACATAATGGTGTGGCAAAACATATGAATTGAACGTTGATAGAGAGAGTTAGAAGCTTGTGTTTGCAATCATGCTTACCAAAGCAGTTTTGGGTAGAACCAGTCAACACAACAACTTACTTAATCAATTGAGTAAACAAGTCCTAAATCTTCATGTGGAAAATATTAATCCCTTAGATATTGAAACACAATATTTACATTAAGAAAAGATGTCAAGAATGACCAAGAGCCTTAATCTATGTCTAGAACCAAGCCTCTTTGTTGTTCTATTCCGATCTATGTTCTAAAACACTTTCCAATGATTAGATACCAATAATTTTGGCGGATGAATTTATTGTCCATGTGGGCTGGAGGGAGAGAAGCATCGATGTGTCAGCAACAACTCCCTTTCCCTTGCAGAGAGTAGTGATGAATGTTGGGAAGCCCAGCTTGACATTAGAAGCTTCTGTAGTATAAACATTGTCTTGGGAGATGAGAGCATCAATGTCCATATCGAACCCCTTCATTATCCCATAAATGAAATATGACCGCTCAAGATTGATATCTGAAGTGTACGTATTGGGCTTGAGGTTGGTGAAGGAAAAAACACTCCACATTTGAGCTAATGAATTCAAATGTTTTCAAAACAATAGATAACCAAAGGTCTAGGAAAGAAAAACAAATTGAGAAAAATTTTTAAAGTTGAGAAGAAATAAAGAAAGAGAGAGAAATATGATAGTGTAATTTTTATTTTTATCAATAATATTGCAGTATAATTTAAAGAGTTTTATTTTCAGTGTTATTATTCCACATTTATATTTTCTTCTAAATTTCTCAACATTTTCTTTTGTTTCTTCTTACAAATTAATATTTTGGTTCACAACCTACTCTAATTAATCGAAATTTAACAAAATTGACTTGTAAGGTGAAGTAAGTACTCATATGTATACTCTAAATTATCCTTATCTATAGTCAATGTGAGACTTCCAACACACACCCCTCACACCGAGGTATATACATCTCGTGCGTATAATGACTAAACATTAATAATTGCCCAAAAATCGCAAATCTCGCTACCAAGTTCTGATATGATAATAAGAAGTGAACTTTAAATCTAATTCAATCTTACAAAATCAATTTATAAAGTGAGTTTTACATTCAGTTGTATAACTCGGTGTGGGTAACACTAATAATTAGAATCTAAATTTAGTTTTTCTTTAAGCAAGTCCAATTGTACCTACTTCTTTATTCGATACAAGCTTTATTTATTAGTTTGTAGAATTTATTAGTGTCCTAAGTAGCATGATTCGCAATAAATATTACAAACTTATTCAATATTGTAGTTGTTTTAATAAGTTTATTGAGTTAACTATGTAACATATCAAATAATATATTAAATTGAACTGCGGTTGATAATAAAATAAAATTTTATAATTATTTTTTAGGTAATTATTTTAAACGAAAAGTATGTGATTTAGAACTAATAACATTTTAAATTGTTTAATGATGATAAAATTATTTGATGATAAAAATTAAAAATTTAAGTTATATATAAATTAATTATTTCAGTTAATATTGTAGCTTTCTATCTATTTAAATGTATTAGAAATTTTGTATCTAAATAATTTAAAACAAATATTAAAATGATAAGAAAATTCATAAATTCAATTTTGAAAAAATAAATCAATAATATATACAGAATAGATAAAAAAATTATAAATTCATTAATAATAAAAGACATATTAATTATTAAGTGACCTCAAAATAGAGTATTCAAGTATTTTTGTTTTTCTTCTAGGTGATAGTTGTTTTATATTTTTAGGAGGCTCTTCTAAGAAACTCTTTGGTTAAAAACTTGGAGTACTAGAAAACAAATTCCATATATTAAAAACATAAAGTACTAAAATATAATCTATTGTGATTAATATTGTGGTTAATAATTTGGTCTTGGATATTGGACTCTCTCATGAGAAAAAGAGAAAAGACTCAAAATTTGAGAATGTTTCTCTTAATCCAGTTAAGTCGGGTTGAAAAATAAGAAAGACAAAAAGGAATAGTCTGAATTCACTTATAATACCAAGACATCGAGAAAGAGAGAAAAAGGAAAAAAATTACTCACAGTTTTCACAAAGTTACAATTATAAAATCGATACTGCAGATTTATTCAACATTGGATCATGTTGAAAATTTGACATCAGATTTGAGACATCATGTTCTTCGTTATAATCGCTTGGATCTTAGATACAAGATCTGAATCGGAAAATATTCAGTTTGCAGTGTAATTATGTGTTTAAATTTTATTTATCTTCTTTGTTATCTATTTGTAAGTTTTGCTATCTTCTTTCAAAATATTTTTTAAAAACAAAATCAGGATAAACAGATTTCAAAGGGAACAATCTCTTGTATGTAGTGGATTCTTATAGGATTATTTGTTGGTTCAAGAGCAAGGTGAAAACTATGAAAAAACGGTGATTTCAATACAAATATGGTCATCAGCCATGCTTGATCGCTACTCATAACTCTAACTCATCGACGATACATTATTTTGCAAAGTGTTAGTGAACCATGGTCAACAATGACCACTATATATATGATCATCACAATGTGCTCTTCTTTCAATAATTCACAGCCCAATGATCAGAGCCACGTAATTTACTCGCAAAGAGAATACCAGCAAGCAATTCATGTGCATCTTAGTAAATCCAGTGCAACGAAAATAAAAGATAAACAAATGAAGAAAGCAACAATGATATACATATATAACCATAGTTATTATATTAAATAAATACTAGATCATGCGTTTGAAAATTGAAGATCCCTTGCTAGTCTAATTTCGAATGTACGAACCAAATTAAGGAAAAATATTAACTAGTTCATTCAGAGAGCGAAAACATGTTTGATCATTTGGAAAGAGACAGAGATGGTGAAGCGTTGCAGCTTGATGCAGGAGGTGATGGAGGAGAGCCATGCCTACGAGGAAGGTCACGTGCCACTGCTTCCACGTTAGCCCTAGTAGAACTTGATGGAGGAGCTGCCACGTATTGACGTGGGTCAAATGCCCTTTGTTGCATGGCCCATGAAATTTGCCCCGACGTATCAAAAAGTGAAGACAAGTCATAGGTGGTGGCCGGCGCCACAGCTCCGGTGGCCGCCGATGGTAAATCAGCCATTGAGAATCGCAGTGCCGTCGCCGATTGAGATGGAGGAGGTGGTGGTGGATGAGGTCCCTCCATCTGGGCAAGGTGGCCTTGTAGGTATGAGAGTTCTGCTTGCAAGCTCACCACCTTTATGTGTAACAAAAATAACTCATTGAATAAATTATCATTTTATTTTCTAGCAAACAAAAAATATATATAAATATGATGAAGAAAATAAAATTGAAACAAATGATATCATCGATCTTTTTCTTTAAGATCTTCCCTTTTCATGTAAAAATAATAAGAATTTCCTTTTCATACAACTTTTTTCTTCAAATAGAAAAATAGAGAATGATAAAATTATTTATAAATGAAATGCGTAATTCTCTCTCTCGATAATATAATTATAATAATGTCGCATTTTCTAACTAATTTAGTAATTATGGATAAAAGAAGGTGAGGATCCCGAGTAAGATTAAGACTAATTAAGGAAAACATAATAGAAGTATCAACACGGTAACTTTAAACAAACTTCTAGAAAATGTACAAGCAAGAATTTTGTACAAACAAAGGTACTTCCAAAAGATACTCAAATAAACATGATTAAACTTGAAGGAAGAAAACAATATATGATTCTTTTAAAAATCAGAAATTGACAGATTCTAACAATAACAATATTAATGAAATAATTTCAACACTAACACATTTTCAATAATGACTAATATACATCCGAACATAAATACGATGAGCTAATTAATTTAGAACATATATATATATATATATATATATATATATATATATATATAAAGAAAGAGAGACAAAAATACATTCCATTTGAAAAATGCTAAACATACTTTTTTAACTTTTTTTTATAAATTTTCTAGAAACTCAGCAAAAATTTATTTATAACTTATTTCTTTTCCTACTGTGTTACGGCAAAGCGAGATGTATAGAAAATACAATCCTAGGTAGATTACTGCAAAAGGAACAAAAACTTCCTTCTACGAAACCATATTCTCCGCTACTAGAAATATTTCAAAACTTAATAAAAATTAAGAGAAAGTATTAAAAAGGATTAACACCTTGCATTCACAATAATGTACATAATCTTCTCAACAAGCTTATAATTTTGTCCAATTGTCAAATAATGTTATATCTTTCATTAGGTTAAAATTATTATTAGTAAGTTTCTATGAGCACTGTACTATGTGAGACTCAAAAATGGTTTATGGGGTAGTCCATGTTTTAGTTCTAGGAAACTATGATGCACTACTAGATATAAATAAGTTAATTAGTGCCTTAATTAATCTAATATTTTCCTTAAAAAAATTAGAGAACACAGTAATAGTTAATTAACACAGACTACGCATTTAGAAGAAATGGGGAAGAAAATTTGACATGCTAAGATTTCCTAATCTATATTAATGTTACATTGATATATAGAATTTGTTTTTGCGAATGTGATTTTATGAAAAGATATAGAGAGACAAAAATGTTTATTTTAATTTCGTGTATGAAATCTGTTCGAAGGCTTGAACTAACCGACCACCTCCTCAAAACATGCAAGAAGCAAGGAAGTAATGGCCCATGGCATTTGTGTAACAGCCGACCACATCATTTGTTAATCAAATAAGAGTTAAGGAATTAACTGAAATGCATTGAAACTGTCTCCCTTATTTTCCTCTTTCCTCAAACCTCACCTTTCTTTCTTAGGGCACACAACCACAAGCTACTTCTACTACTACTACTACAATGCATGTTAATCTTTCTTCTCCTTCACTTCAACTATTGAAGCCACAAAACAAAAAACTAAAAAAACAAACTAAAACAAATACACAGATGTGTCCCTTTTCTCAACAGTTTAACAAAATTGTTTTTCTTTCTTAAATTAAAATATAAAATTAAAAAAAATATATTTTCTAAATTTTTTAATACATTTTTATTTTTCTGCTTTAAAAATAAATATTTTAATTCAATTTTATTAATTTTTTTTTTATTAAACAATATTCAAAATAAAATATGTTAAACAGTATAAACGTAACACATAAACGTCAATTTAAAATATTATTTGACACGTCAAAATATTTAATGCAATTATATTTATTTTAAAGTTTAAAGAACCAAATTATATAAAAAAAAAAACACAACAATAAAAAAAATAGTTATTATTTTGAGAATTAAAAACGAGATTGAAAACCATGGAAATCTTGTAAGTATTATAAAACACGGCTTTTCTTAGGTTTCACTTTATTGGCCAGGAAAACAAACAAAATAAACTGGAACGTTACATGAGTTATTTTACATACATACATACATACATACATACATACATACATATATATATATATATATATATATATATATATATATATATACACGGTTTCTAGAAACAGAAAGTCTAAAAGAAACTCAACACCCCCAATCTGATAAATTTTATAATTTCTGATATGATTCTGATTCTACAGTCAATAGAAAACGTCTTGAAAGCATACCGATTGAAGCGATTCACTGGTTAGCTTAGTGTGGGAGAAGAAATTGAAAACTGATAATTAAGGTATAGCCAGATTGAAAGCAAACGATTAATTGACATATATAATGCGCATGCCAAGAACACGCATTAAGAAACCATGGTTAATCACATATAATTATATCAAGAGTTAGAGTTATAATCAAAATCAATAGTTTACCTGTTGCTGAAGGGCAAAGATGTGGGAAACACAGCCGTAAACAGGATCTCTTAGGCGTGATTGTGCTTCATAACAAATGGTGATGACAGCATCAAGCCTCTTGTGCACAGGAATGCTAAGGAGAAGCTTGGACACGTTACTAGCCCCAAAAACCTTATGCACAGAAGCGAAATGGGCTGTACCTTGCTCCGCATCAAAATACGGAGCAAAGATACAACCCTGAATGCATTTCCTTCTGAGGAACTTGCAAGCCCCACAAGGGTTACCAGAACTACTGTTACCGTTACTGTTACCGCTACCAGTATTCATGTCGGAGTAAAATTATAAAGGTGAGAAGGATATGAAATGATTAGGTTATGGAGGGAGGATTTTGTGAGAGGTGGAAAAAGGAAGAGAAGAAGAAGGAGAAGGGTGGAGTGTTGTGAGGAAGAATTTAGGAAGGATAGGTTTGGTGGGGTTAGGGAGATTTAATGAGGGGATTTAATGGGAAAGAAGAAGTCTTAAAAGGCACGCGAGGGAGCAAAGGCTTAACATCTACATTTAGCTGTTTGCGTGAAGAAAAACATGAGGTATAAGGTGGCTAGCTATGGCTTGTTTGCTCGCACTCAAAACTTGTTTTGGCTTCGTTCCTCTCGTGATGGTGAATACATTTAACACACAAACATGCTCTCTCTTCAAAAACACACACTTTTGAGACTTCCCCTAGTTGCTATCATGTGAGGATAAAGGTATGTGTTGGAAGAGGAAGCTTTGAATTTGGACCAAGAGATGATGTAATCATAAAAGAGGTTTTTGTAACCGAGCCAGGCCAAACTAAAGACAACAATTTTTTTTGTTATTTTTACGCGTTTATAATATGATATACATCAAAGAGAATGTGTCCATTTGCATTATTTGGCTTTATGTGGACAAAAACAATAGAGATCTTCTCTTGATATTTTGGTGTTGTGACATTGGTGTCTCTTCATAATACTATAGATATTAGAAAAATATTATTAGACACACATAAATTTTTTACATTTATTTAAAAAAATTTTTTATTCTCTTCTTTCTTGAAAAAAATACAAATATTTACACTTTTATGACTATTTTACTCTTATATTGTGTGTCAAATTAATGTAAAAGTGTGACATGATACGATTACTCTAGATATTAAAATATATTTAAATTCATGAAAGAACTAATTTATTACATGTTCTAATCAGATTAGATTAAAAAAAATATTAATTTTTTTTAAATGTGGACGAAACGGAATCTCATCATTTAATTTAAATTAAATGTAAATTAAATGGATTGAAGTCGAGTTAAGGAGGAGATGATCATTAATTTATAAAAAACAATTTCTTATTATTTTTTCGTAAGTTATTTATTATAATTATTTATTACTTCTAATTATTTAGTTAACATTTTGATTTCTTTAAAATATTATAATGTTTTTAATAATATTAAATAGTTTTGATGTTTAATTTATTTTGAAAAACTATGTAGGTTAATACTTTAATTTTAAAATTATCTTTATAATCATGTTTGATGAAATACATTAGTTCTTGGATGGTAATGTTATAAAAAAAAATTATTCAGTTAGTTCATTGACTGTACGTAACAATTATATACAATAAGTTAAAAATAAAATTTAAGTGAGTTAATTCATCTAATCCACCAATTTTGTCAGGGATCAAATTAGATTACTCGTCATAGAATAAATTAAGTTTGATTTATTTATTTTTAGTTCAACTTGTATTGAGTTAACACGCACAAATATAGTTAACTGACTCTTAACACTCTTATAATATATATTAAAAAAGTTTTTAATATATTTTAAAATATTAAAATTAATGTACATAGATGTATTTTGAAAATATAAGGATAACATTTGTCAAACCCCATTAAAAACACACCCAAAAACCCCAAGTAACGGGATCCATGTGCCAAGAAGTGAGTGAGCATCTCAGTTAATGGAGAACAGGTGGCTGCAGGAGAGTGGTCGTTCGTTTTGGGCGACGGCAGTATTTAAGACCAAATTTCAAATGTCGTGCCACTTCTCTACATGTTTTTCTTCTTCCCCACCCTGCTGAAACCATTTTCTCCTTCTTCTCTCTAAAATCTCCTTCTTCTCTCTAAGAAAACCTCACTATTTCTTCTTTCGATCACCTCTCAGGCACCGCTGAAACATTATCGACGTCAAGAGCTTCCATTTAAACCGATCGGTTTGTGATTCTGAGCTGGTGAGTTCTTTCGCTTTAAGCACGTTCGTTTAAGACTCGCATGCAACCCTATAATTCTGGTCACCTGAGTGGGTGATATTATTCTGAGTGTTTCTGGTTTTCTATATGGTTCAGTATTCCTAAAACGTGGTCGTTGGACTTTAAGTCTTTGGTAGTAGGGAGCTCTAATCCTGCATAGTTGAGTGTTCGGTTACGTGTCGAGGTAAGAGAAGCTTATATAATTTAATTTAGCTTGTTGTGTTAAATGTTTGTATGCTTGCATGATACGTTTGATTATTTGATGAGTATGAAATATGATTGTACTGCTGGTTTGGACGTGTGGATGGACGTATGATATACGCTGTGAACTGAGTTGGAATAGAGTTTAATTTTCGAACCACAGTATTCTGAGCAAAGGTGATAGTATGGTCGAGCATCATTAGCGAGTGTTCGGTCTTTCTTGGGAGTGCATGGTCTTACTTGAATTATCATGCGTTAGGGATATTGTTTAAGAGTCTTTCTGTAATATGATATAAGAATAGGTAAACTGTAACCGAGAGTTTGTATTCATCGGTCAGTTTTCGTTGAGCGTCCGTTCATGTTAAGTTCTTCTTTAGACTTCCTAAACAGTTTAGTTAAATGTGTTATATACTACTTAAGGTCATAGACATTATTGTTCTTTTCATTCAGAATAAGTGGTGGCTCAATTGTGTGTGTATATATATATATATATATATATATATATATTCATTCGTTTTATGTGAGTTTATTAGCGATCGGTCTTGGACCAATCTTTCAGTTTCAGTAGCGCTCGTTCCTGATAAGCACTTGGTCTTGGACCAGCGCTCATTCAAAAGTGTTCGGTTTCTACAGGGCTCGGTCTTAAACCAAGCGCTGGGTCTTGTTTTTTGTAATATAGTATTACTGTGCTTAGAATCAGAGTCTTTATTCAAACTAGATAGCGTTCGTTAATTCATAGTTTCTCATCAGTATTATTGATTAGTATAAGTCAGTGTTGGTCTTTAAAAGGTGTTCGGCCTAGAGTCTTAGTACTCGGCCTAGGCTTTGTGGCGTCTGGTTTGAACTCTTAGGAGTTTGTTTATTAAAGTAGATGAGTAGCGCTCAGTCTGGTTAGTTTCTATGAAGCGTTATTCCAGTCGTACTTGGGTTATGATAAGAGCGTATGATCTTATTTCCTTTGAATGTATGGATGATTAAGTATGAGGAAAATTGAGATGTGATGTGTATGAAATAGTTGATTATGAACGAGTATTCCAGGGAGGAATATCTCAGAAAGTGGTTATTGATTGGTAAAGTATGAATGTGGGCAAAGCTTAGCGGGCGTTCATCCTGATATTCCATGATTACTTGTTCTCATGTAGAGAGGAGTAAGTCACGTGTGAGAATGGCAAGAGGTCCTAGTCCATAATGTTAACTTGGACAGAACGGATCAACCTCGGGTGGCAGCTGTTGAGGGTATCCCAGTTACTACATCACCCGGGTGCACGAACGTCGTAGCTACACAGGATTCATACAGTCCGGACAGTCAGAGTCATGTGGTCGTTATTTGCATGTATGGATGTATGAATTATGATGTGGTCGTTGTTGGTTTTGTTATGAATGTTGTATGTTGTGATTGAATAAATTAAATTACATAAGCTTACCCTGTTTATTATTTTTGTCTGTGTTGTGCGTCCTATCGTTGTCCTGTTGTAATGATCATCTGTGTGGATGTGAGCAGAAGGAGAAGAGCTGCTGGAAGAAGTATTGGAAGACGCGGCGGAAGTGAAGATTGAACCTTAGGGACGTTCGGCCTGTTATTAGCTTTATATGTTGTAAGAGCGTTCGGTATAATTTATTTTGTACACCGTTCAGTCTAGTAGTAGCTAGCGTACTTTTTAAATTCCCTGTTATTATGTAAGGTCGTTCGGCCATAATAGTATCTCGTTCTGTGTAGAACTTATCTGTAGTATTGTTAATATGTGATGATTCTCGTATATGGTTTTACACTGTATTTTTGGGATGTTACAACACTAAAAATTAAAATTAAAATCCAAATTCAAAAAATTAAATTCCAATACCTCTTTTATTTGTTTCTTAATTCAATTCCAATACATTATTGCTTAAACTTGAGAGTGGCTGAGACAGACTAAATAAGGAAATTATGCTAATTATAAACCTTGTTAATTGTGGGAATAAATTAATAGTGCATTGTATATGGTTATTTTGTTTTATCAACCTTTACTTGGGTAAATTACACGACTCTTTGTTGCAATTGATTCAGCCACTTGGGTTTGTCTTCTTTATAAACAAAATGCCAAAATGCTTAGGCTTGAAAGTTATGGTAGTAAATTGGTATGAATGCATGTGTTTAGGTTATTAATTCACATTATTAATTCAGATTTGTTGGGTTGTATAAGTGAATGAGTGAGAGAGAAAGAGAGAGGATCTTGGATACCATTGTTGATGTTGAATATATGCAACTTAAGAAAGGAGAAACAAGGGTATTAGTTTTTTTTAATTAGTAATTTGATTTTTATATTTAGATTATCATTATTTTTTTTATTTTTTATTTTTTATTTAATTGAATTTTAATATTTTTAANTATATATATATATATTCATTCGTTTTATGTGAGTTTATTAGCGATCGGTCTTGGACCAATCTTTCAGTTTCAGTAGCGCTCGTTCCTGATAAGCACTTGGTCTTGGACCAGCGCTCATTCAAAAGTGTTCGGTTTCTACAGGGCTCGGTCTTAAACCAAGCGCTGGGTCTTGTTTTTTGTAATATAGTATTACTGTGCTTAGAATCAGAGTCTTTATTCAAACTAGATAGCGTTCGTTAATTCATAGTTTCTCATCAGTATTATTGATTAGTATAAGTCAGTGTTGGTCTTTAAAAGGTGTTCGGCCTAGAGTCTTAGTACTCGGCCTAGGCTTTGTGGCGTCTGGTTTGAACTCTTAGGAGTTTGTTTATTAAAGTAGATGAGTAGCGCTCAGTCTGGTTAGTTTCTATGAAGCGTTATTCCAGTCGTACTTGGGTTATGATAAGAGCGTATGATCTTATTTCCTTTGAATGTATGGATGATTAAGTATGAGGAAAATTGAGATGTGATGTGTATGAAATAGTTGATTATGAACGAGTATTCCAGGGAGGAATATCTCAGAAAGTGGTTATTGATTGGTAAAGTATGAATGTGGGCAAAGCTTAGCGGGCGTTCATCCTGATATTCCATGATTACTTGTTCTCATGTAGAGAGGAGTAAGTCACGTGTGAGAATGGCAAGAGGTCCTAGTCCATAATGTTAACTTGGACAGAACGGATCAACCTCGGGTGGCAGCTGTTGAGGGTATCCCAGTTACTACATCACCCGGGTGCACGAACGTCGTAGCTA